TTCATTACCTATTTTATTTTTATCAATTATTTGAATATTTTTTCGAGTTTTGATTTTTAATTAAATAATTTTTATTAATTATTATTAGTAATGTTTGGTTGTACTTTATGTATGAAACAATTCACAACAAAATTTAATCAATCACGTCACAAAAAAATGTTCATGTAAATAAATCATTTGTTTATTTAAAATTTATAAATAATATAGATGTTTTGTAAAGAGATGGGCGCAAACATCTCCATCAATCCCATAAAACATAGTACAGCTACAATTCTCATTTACAAATTATGAATTACAAAAAAGCGCTAAAAAAGAAATTTTTTACATATAAAATTAAATTCCAATTGACATCAAATTTTTTCATTAATAATTTAAAATTCTTTTTTCAACTTTATGTACAAACTTTTATTTTTCATTGGAAAATTAGTTCCCAACATTTTCTTTTAAAAAAGAGACTTTTTTAGTAAATAAATAATTAAATAAATTTTGAGGGTGAGAAATAATTCCATGGCGACCTTAAATAATTTTACACTTTGAAAAAATTGTTTACTTAATAATATTGAAAAAAGTTAGTTAAAATAAACGCTATATTTCGTGATTTATTACTTTAAAGTTTTTTTACTTATTATTTTATTATTTTTATTTTAAATTTTTTCTTTCTGATTTAGTAAATAAAATATTTTTTATTATTTGTAAATAAATTTTAAAATGTGTACAGTCGATACTCGATTTTAGATTCTCACTACGTTAAGGTTGACGGTTCGGAATATCTTCTGATTGTATCATATATGACCGACGAACCGGGTATTTTCTATTCGTTTTTTCGGTTCTTATTCAAGTTTCGGATATCCGAAAATTTCAGTTCGCTTAGCAATCCGGTTCTTTTATACGGTTCGTAATAAAATGGAAGAGTACAATTCACTCGTGAGTTATCGGGTCGAAACTGAACTTATCCGGACTGAACTGACTCGTTCGATCTATTCCATCTCCAATAAATAATCCTAAACAATATTCATCCTTATCTATAATCGGCTTCCTGTCAAATTTTTAACTTTTTTATTCTATCCTGTTTCGTGTTGTTTTAAAAATACAAAATAACACAAATTTTATCTCATTTAAATCAGTTAAACATAGTTACTGTTAATGTTAAGAAAATGAAAAGAAAAGAACAAAAGAAAGAAAAGTAAACTAAATTAGAAGGTGGGACATTAGACTCTACCGACCTCTAAATTGTGAAATTGAAATTTGAAATTTTTTTCTAGACAATCACCCTATTTAAATACTACTCATTTTCCAGCCTATTGACTTTAATGTTAAACCGTTTAGATCAAACAATCATTTTGTCAAACAATCATACATGTTCAATTGAAAACTGTCTATAAGTTAAGTGTACCGAAATTATTTTTAAATTGATTGCAATTTCAATTTCATCTCTAAATTAGATAAAGAATAAAAGGAAAGAATGTCAAAACCATTTAATGGTCAACAGTTTTTCTTTGTTTTTGCTAATCTAATAATTTTTACATCGCGAACTTTGTTGATAAACATTTCCAGAATTAGTCTGATTCACTATGTTCCGATCCATTATATTCTGCAGTAGGCACAGATCCAGCGGATTCACTTTCATCAGACTCTGTTCCATTGGGTGTAGGTGTAGGAGTAGGTTCATCAAGGGAATGTCGAGTAACATAATTGATGTCAACGCGTCCATTCAAGATACGTTTGCCGGTTTGTGGCTAAATAAAATATTAATTAACTTGTGTTGTAGCGTAATCGAAAATAATTTTGCGAAAATTTTTCAGACAGCTTACTAAATGTTATATTAAAGAGCAGCAGGCTTAATAGAATTCCGCGCTGTTCCGAATTTTCTAGGAGGTTTTCTTTCAAATTTCGAGGGGTTTTTCTTTAGACTTTTAAAATTTTTCACAAATTTAAAATACTGTCTCGTAGTTCAGTTAATAAGGAGAAATTCCGGCTTTCCGATTTAAGATTTTTCAGGTTTATTTTGTTTAGAAACAGCTCTGGTTGAATGATACCAAATAAATTTTTTGGCTTATCGTGTTTATGAGTCTAGATTGTTTTGTTGGCCTAGCCATTTATAAACAAACCCAATTATTGTAATTTCTCTGTTGATGACTTCCTCCATCAGCAAAACAATGTTGTCCTCTCATACGATATCTAATCAAATGTGTTACAAAAAAAGTAATTGCATCATCTAAATCGCACTCCTCTGGTACATTAATAATTTTATCAACATTATTTTGCACTTTAATATCTCCAAAAACATGATTTCCATCCGGTATTGAGCAAACCATGTAAACACAGAAACGTTTGTATTCATGATTATCAACACGTTGGTAATCATTCCCGTTTGAAACGGTTGCATTTATATTTAGACGGAATCGTCTTCCTTCAGCAATTGCACAAAAATTTAAAAATGTAAAAAATAACATGATTGGAATTAAAATTTTGTTCATTTTTAAATTCTAAATAAAAAGAAGTTTAGTTTTTGAGAAATTCTGTTACATATTTTTCACCTCTAAAAGAGATTGTTTTTAATACAACTACACATTTATAGAGTACAAACAGGGTCCGCGAGGCCAAGGCACCGCTAAACTAAAAATTTGATAGAAATTATCGACCTCCAAAAATCCCCGATATACTTTTAATCACCAAATCCCATCACTCTATATCCTTCCATTTTAATCAACCAAACATGAGGGCAATCTCCGAGAAATTTTAATTTATTCTTGTTAGAATGTTTGAAAATATTCAAAAATTTAACCAAAATCCCGCTAAATTTCCTAAGATCGCTCCTGGACCCAACTCTCTCTCAACTCTGAAGCCAGCTTCTGAGACGAATCTGGAGTTAAGCTTGTTTTATAAGTTAAGCTTGCTTCATAACTTAACATTTAAAATGCCTGGGGAAGAAGTCAAGATTTTAAAAGCTCGAAGAGTCAGACACAATTTGCCCAACACACAACACTGATTAGGATTACGATAAAAAGCTAACTGAATAAATTAGACGAATTTTTATCTCTTTTAAAGGCTTATCAAATTTCGCACTTTTACAAACAAAATCGAAATTTACAGGCGGAGCTATCACACATTAAGAGCAATTTATCATATTTCTTAAGCAATTTATTAAATAAAAATTTTCGGCAAAAAAATGCCAAAGGAGAGGATAGAGAAGCTAAATTAAAGGGCAATTAATTAGCTATTAATTTGCTTAGACAGGGAGAATTTTTCTTGCCATAATTTTCCTTCCTTTGGCATTTAATTTGCCGACAATTTTTATTTAATAAATTGATTAAAAATCATAAGCAAAATTTAAAAATAAAAATTAAGTTGGAAGTGATCTCTGAGATCAGTTTCAAAATGACTCTGAGCTGTTTCGAAATTTCGATTTTCTACTTTTAATTTTCAAGGGTTTTTTTCTTAAATTTAGACTCTATGGTGAATTTTTCAGTTTTTGAATTTTTCAATGTTTCTCTGTTTTAAAACATAATAGTTGTTTATATTATTTCATTGAGCTATCCTCACTATAGGTGAGAGCTAATTTTATAAGCTTTATCTTCTATATAACTTAGAGAGTTCAATATGTTTAACCTCGACTGAATTAATCCAAAAAATACTTAATATATTACTTATTAAAATACATACATAATAAGTTTACTCACGGGCAGGCTTCGATCCTGCGACCTCCTGGAAGGTATTCTAGGTGATTTTTTACACCACATTATAGGTGTTCTACGACGAGCGAGACCGATACGGAGATTCTCGGCTTTTTTCCAATATCGGTCTCGGTTTTTTCATTCACGTCCTTGAAACCGATACCGAAATTCTCGGTTCATTTCTCGGCGAGAAACGATACTGACTCGAAAAAACAAAATCCTCAATTTGGCATAAAAATCTTTGTTAGTATCGGCAGTATTGTTTCTAGGTATCGGTCTAGGCTCAAAATGATGGTATCGGTATCGGGTTCTTTAGTATCGGTCAATCTCGGTCTCGGCTTGGCCGATACCAGTATCGTTTTGATCAACTCTATGTTAAACTTTATCTCGCTTTTAATGCCCTCTTTTTCTCTCTTCTTATGCCCTCTTTCTTGCCCTCTAATTCTCTCCTTTTGGCATTTAATTTTATTTAATTTTTTTATTTAATAAATTGATTACGAATCATAAGCAAAATTTAAAAATAAAAAATCAGTTTCAAATCAACTCTGAGTAAAAATAAAAAGCAGTTTCAAAATGACATCTGAGCTGTTTCGAAATTTCGATTTACTCATTAATTATTAAAAAAAAATATTTTTTCAACTTTATTTTTCATTGTAAAATTAGTTCCCCGTCATTTTCTTTTAAAAAAGAGACTTTTTTAGTAAATAAATAATTAAATAAATTTTGAGGGTGGGAAATAATTCCATGGCGACCTTAAATAATTTTACACCTTGAAAAATGATGTTTACTTAATAATATTGAAAAAGTTGGTTAAATTAAACGCTATATTTCGTGATTTATTACTTTAAGATTTTTTACTTTTATTATTTTTTATTTTTACTTTTAATTTTTTTATTTTTATTTACATTAATTTTTTGTTCAATTTATTAAATTAAACATTTTTATTAACTCTAAATAAATTTTAAAATGTGTACGTTCGAACCTCAATTTCAGATCCTCTCTATGTTAGGGTTGGCGGTTCGGATATCTACCGAGGGTCTCTTATACGACCGACAAGCCGGGTAATTCGATTTATTTCTTCGGGTCTTAATTGAGATTCAGATATACGAAATTTCGGTTCGCATACATTTCGGTTTTTTTATACGTTTCGTAATAAAATGGAGGAGGACCATGCCTTCATGAGTTATCGGTTTGAGATTGAACTTCTCCGAACTGAAACTGAACTCCTCCGATCTATTCCATTTATATCACTTGTAACCCCACCTCTAAAGGATCTTGACGAACACTACATTCTCGACCAAGATAAATTTCTACACCTAGGGGGAAGGGGGATTTGCCTATATGTAAACCCTGAGGTGTTGGAATTCAACGCTTGTTTCAACTCTTGGAAGAGTGCTTGCATTAAAATCGGGTGCACTCTGTTTTCTCAAAGTTTTTCTTAATTACTGTCATTAAAAAAATATTTTTAAACTTATAAGTTTTATTAAACACCTGCCACTAGCCAATATAATTTTTTATTACCTTCCAACTTTTTTTATATATCAAATAAAATATTTGCCATGTTTAGTTTTATTTTTGATGTTAAAAATGATTCGAGAAATAATTCATATAAATTCTTTCTCAACTTTTATTATTGGAATAATTTTGATTACTTTACTTGTAGTCCTTGTTTTAAACAAAAGTACACCGGAAATGAAAGTTTTTAGTCATATTTTGCTTCAGACTGCTTTAACTGATCTTTTTATGTTGATTATTAATTTAGTGACCCAACCGGTTTGATTTTTGATTTTTCCGGAAGGGGTGGTTGAGTAGGAGTTGGTTTAGTGTCAGCTAAATTCGATCGACTATAACTTTTTTGTCAAATATTCGATTCTAATGGATCTTATATCATTCGAAAGCTCTTGAAAAGCGGCATCTTTTTGCCAACTGGATATATCATGTCTGATCATAGTTTAAAAAGTTACAACCCAAGTAACGGGAAAAACCCGAAATAATTGTATTCTCGGATTGAAACTTTTTAGTGAGTGATCAAACTTGGTCCATCTAGTTGGAAAAAATATTCCGCTAATCAAGAGCTTTCGATCATATAAGCTTCATTCTGTATTGAATCAAGAATAAAAAAAAGTTACTGTCAATCAAAGCTGGCTGACATTCAGCTAGCTTATACTCACTTAGAGGTTCTAATGAATGAAAAAATTTTTTCAAGATTTTTACTTTCGATGGTGATGCTAATATTGTTGTACTTAACAGTCCTTTTAATTCAAATCTTATCCCCAAGGATATTTTACTTGCAATTTGGGATAATTGTTTGCTATTTTCTATATTTTCACAAGCTGCTCAATTTATCTATAGATATTTATGTCTTAACAGGTTTTTCAACAGATACAGGATCATTGAGAGGAGCCCAATAGGCATCAGAAGTCGATCGGAATTCCGATTTCCAACTTCCGATTTCCGAGTTCCGACTTTTGAGCCATTTCCGATTTTTGACAGTTCCGATTTCCATCACCTTCATCATTTCCGATCGACCCCTGATTGGCATAGACTCACTCCATATTAAACAACCCCTAATATAAGGTGACAACCGTTCGTGATCAGACCTATTCAGACCTATTATAAGACCTATTTAATAGTATTATAAGTAAAAATACACTTTAAAGAAACAGCAACATTACTTCAATTCAATATTTTTTCTCAATGTTTGGAATTGTCCTGCCACTAAATTTTGTTTTATCTTTCCTACTTTATATAACAGGAAAGCCGGAAAAGAACGATCAGTCGTGTTGTAATAATTTGGCTTTAATTGAAATTTTGGAAAGAAATGGGACTAATATTGAGCCTATATTACTTGCTCAAAAATGGGTGAGTTTAACCCTTTTTTGGAGGGATTTGTTGACCTAACTGACTCCTGCTTCATGTGCCATGTTAGGGATCGCACCGAAATCCGATTCCCGTAAATTGGAATTCCCAACGTGTTTTACCTTGGTTCTCAGGAATTTCCATTCCTGAATCTGTGTCCACAGTAGATAAAATTATTCGCAAGGCATTCTCCTTCACAGGACAATCTTAACTATTCAAATAAAAATTCGGTTTCGGATCTGGCTATTCGAAGATTTCCCATGATTAGCTAACTCTATTCATGATTTCTGAAAGTTTTCTAAAAACTCGTGAAACCAAGCTCTCCCACCGTCCAAAACTTAACTCAATAACTAATTTAGAATACTCTAATCTATGCCTTTGTTTGGCTGCTTATTAGCATCCTTGTTTTGTTTGCCTATTTAATTATGCTTGTATCTGCTCGAGCTATGTCCTTGCATGTTCGATTGAAGCTTAAAGTTGACACCGACCGTTTTTCTGAAATTAATCAACAACTGACTTTGAATATTATTGCTTATGTAAATATTTTATTTATTTTTTATTAAATGGTCATAAATGGCAAAAATGGCCATTTGGGTTGGATTTCTAGATGCTTAAACTAGAATTAGGGGCAAAACATGATCTGACCAAAATACTGTCTGGACGTTATGCGATATGGAATTATTGTAGAGAAGTTAAGGGAGGAAGAAAGTCTGACCATTATGTGACCATTTACCTAAACTCAAGCTTACTAAATTGTCTGAGGAATAAGTGAGGGAGTGAAACGACAATAGACTCTAGTAGTGATGGTCGGGAGTTAAAAAAAACCGAGAGTCAGACCGGGAATTGACCCCGAGAGTCGAGACCAAGAGATCGGGAGGGATATCACTTTATATACTTCCTAATCCCCAAAAATCCCTATATATCCTTCATAATCCTCCAAATCCCTTGACTCGGGAACCGAGGGAATCCTGACCATCACTGGTATTTAGTATCTTAATTTATTATAAACCTTTCAGTTATTACTACCTTTACTTACATTAATACCAATTTGGACTACTTGTATTTTTACACTTGCAAACATATTCAGTCAATTTTCATCTACTTGGATTTTACAATTTGTATTTTATATTAATTTTAATTTTCAAATTAATTTTTTAGTTAATGCTAATTCGTTTGCCAATTCCTTGGATAGCTATATTTAATCCAACAGTTACCATTTTAACTTTAAGACATTACAGAAAGGCTTTTATTTCGTTAATTTTCAACTCGACTGGATCTGATTCTGTTGTGCCGTTAAATACGTTTACTGTGGGAATGCAAAGAAATAATACAAATAATAATACAATTATTACTAGATAATTAGTTAATTTTATTGTTTAATGAATATTTACTTAATATTAGTTTATTTGTTTTTGTTAATAATATCAGAGAAGACATTTAAATTAAATGACATTTTATCCCTACTCGCGTTTTTTGAGAATTTTAAATTTTGTTCGAAATATTAGAGAACACATTCAAATTAAATGACATTTTATCCCCATTCGCGTTTCTTGAGAATTTTGAATTTTGTGAATTTATTTGAATAATTAAAAAAGATTTTTTACAATCAACACGTTTCTAATTTAATTTAATATTTTTTTGCAAAATTTGATAAGACTTGGCAAACCCAATCCCGACTTGAATAATTTTCCAAGTGGGCTAATCATCTGGTATGGGGTCAGGCCAGGCTTTGACGTGTAGAGGAAAAGTTGGGCAAGATTTTGTGTCGGATTTTCAAAAATTTCTCTGTAAGCTATCATTTCAAAAAAATTGTCCAGGTATCGAAGTGCGAGTATCAGACTTCGGATTGACCTCAATGGATCAAATGACATCTTTATTTTATTATTTAAAAATAAAATAATAATTAATTTAATTAATATTTAATATATTTCTTTTTCATCTCGTAAGGTGGCACATTCCAACTTTTACGTAATTCATTGAAATAAACTCGTTGTTCCTCTTCCCTACCAATTATTAATTTTTGCCCAGTTAATAAAGCTCTAGGTGATTTATAATTATTTAATCTCTTAGTTGTATTTGTTGGTTGATTTGGTGGAAACGGCAGAATTGAATTTATAGCCAGCTGAGGTTTTGGTTGGAGAGAATTATTTGACTTGGAGCAACATTTAAAACTGCAGAGAGATGATGTCAATTGTTTTAGGTGAGATTTGAAGGCTTCCAACATTGAAGAATGAAACCTAAAAAAATACTTTTAGACGGACTTTGTAGAGCCGTCCAAGAGGGGAATTTCCGAGTCTCAAGACGTAGGCCGTAAATGGATGGTAAGATTGAAATAAAGAAACTAGATCAAGAGTCATGGACAGTTATAAGGCTTTGAAGCCTACTGTGAACTTTAGGGGTCTCAAAAACACGAACTTTGAGAGTAAGGTGGAAATAGCACCGGTCAGGCATCGATCCTGTGACCTCTTGGAAGCTATTACTAGACGTTGTCGTTCAGACCGTACAATGGATCTGCCAACTGAGCTTAATGTGCTTTCTTCTTCTTAAACCCTCTTAATATCTAATAGGCCTAGAATTCAAAAATAAAAAACCATATTGCAGCAATTGGAATAGCATTTAAAGCCACAGCCAAAACGAAATCGAAAGATTGTGAATATTCTACATTAAAATAATCTTTATTGTACGCTATCCGGATCATGACACAATCAAAATGTAGATTGCTTAAAATTTGTTAAATTTAAATGTAATTTTAAAAAATTTTGGAAGAAATTTAGACCAAATTATGGATCTAATTTTTGTGTTTTACCGTGTTTCCACGAATAGGACTTAAAAAAGATATCTGGCTCTGAAAAAAGATATCCGGATCTCCAAAAAAATTCTTGGATATTCTGATATTTTGTATCCGGATCCACAAACTCTAGTCTAGATAAGTGTTTATTTTCGAAAAAAATTATATAGAAATAAGACTTCCATTTATTAAGAGATACTGGAACATTGCCTGCCTATGGGTTTTAAATCCTATCTAAATCAGATATGGATCGGAATTTTGTAATTTATTATGTCTCAGCAATCAAGATGAACCTTTCCTCATTACACAAATAAAATCTCTTGTTACTAGTCCTTTGATCATAAATTTTTTTAAAATCTCCTACTAACCAAACAAAAATAATAATTCCAACAGCCAACAAAAGCTTCGAAGACCGAACGTTTTCAGCAAATTGATATCTTTGTACAAGATTGTGTTTGTTAGGCAATCGGGAAAATGCATAACAACGTTGATTGTAACGCAAAATTAATACAAAAATTGCAAAACAAATAATCCAAATAACTAAGCGTACAGAGACGTCTATTATATGGTAAAGACCGTAATAACTTCCTCGGAAAGTTATTACTCCATTTCGAATTGATGAATTGTTTAATTCACTTCCAATGTATATACCAATTGCTATGCTGATTAATAACTAAAATTTTTTAAATTATTTTCTATAGGTATTTAAAAATAATTTATAAATCTCAAATAATATCTCCGAGAACATAAACCACTTTCTCCGACAGCCTAGGTTTGGTCGATTGATTTTGCGTGTTCTTAAATGGTCTCATGCAGTATCGTCTGGTCCTGATGGGGGAACCACACCCAATTTATGGGTGTGGTTTACCCCAATTTTTTTCATAAATTCAGCAATTTTTTGAATGATAATGTCGTAATATCAAGATTCCTTTATAATAATTTTAGGGTTTAGACTGCCATAAAAAAATCCCCTTTTTACTGGCATAAAAAATCCCCTTTTTGACCGTATATACACTTTTTAGTCTATAGAGCTATCCAAAGCTATTAAACTTTTCTGATCATTAAAAAAGAAAAATCATACTGTCAAAACAACTGCCCATATTCCAATTTTGGGTGATTTTTGTTGTTCATAATTTTTAGAGTAAATGGTAGCTAGAACTAAAAATAATTTTTAAAAATTTTTCTTATAATTAAAAAATACCTCTTTCGAAGGTAAGCGGAACTATTATGGTTCGAAAGAACTTAAAGTTAAAAAATATTTTTTTAAATAAAAAATTACTGACCATAACAGCTACTTCATGGCCATAAACAAGCCAATTAAAAATATCTATGTATAACACGCCAGTAAAAATATAATTAAATTCTGTTGGAAGACGTGTTAAAGCAACCTATTTGAATAGTAAAATATATGGCAAGTTTATTAAATATTAAACTTGATTTGCGATATGAGTTATTTTAAAATAAACTTAAAAGTAAGCTTAAATAAAAAAAAATAAACTTAAAAATAAACTTGAACGTAAAAACACAAAAATAGACATAAAATAAGCTTGAACTTAAAAACACAAGAATAAACATAAAAACAAGCCTAAACTTAAAAACACAAAAATAAACTTAAAAATAAGCTCGAACTTAAAAACAAAAATAAACTTAAAAATAAGCTTGAACTTAAAAACACGAGATAAACATAAAACAAGCTTAAACTTAAAAACACAAAAATAAACTTAAAAACAAGCTTAAACTTAAAAACACAAAAATTAACTTAAAAACAAGCTTAAACTTAAAAACACAAAAATAAACTTAAAAACAAGCTTAAACTTAAAAACACAAAAATAAACTTAAAAATAAGCTTGAACAAAAAACACAAGAATAAACATAAAAATAAACTTGAACTTAAAAACACAAAAATAAACTTAAAAAGAAGCTTAAACTTAAAAACACAAGAATAAACATAAAAATAAACTTGAACTTAAAAACACAAAAATAAACTTAAAAATAAGCTTGAACTTAAAAAACAAGAATAAACATAAAAACAAGCTTAATCTTAAAACACAAAAATAAACTTAAAAATAAGCTTAAACTTAAAAACACAAGAATAAACATAAAAACAAGCTTAATCTTAAAAACACAAAAATAAACTTAAAAATAAGCTTAAACTTAAAAACACAAGAATAAACATAAAAACAAGCTTAATCTTAAAACAATAATAACCATAAAATAAGCTTAAACCTAAAAATAAATAAAATATACGTTAGAATAAACTTGAAATTAAAGTGAACTTAAGTTTATTATTATTTTTCATGTTTTATTATTTCAGTTTAAATTTTAATTAAATATTTAAATAACCCACCAAAATCAAACAACTCGAAAAAGAGGCTAAGAGAACACGTAAATTATTATGAAGATCTTGTCTGCTCCACAGAATGAAAATAAAATAAATATTTGGTATTAATGCTGATATATCCAACATTAATTCTGCCAATGCAATTGCAAAATTTATGGGTGCTGGGGAGGATTTTGTGGTTAATGTGTTATTGTTTGTATCCATTGGAATAATTATTTATTTAATTTAGTTTATAAAAATAAACTTAAAATAATACAAGAATAAACTTTAAATAGAAATAATGAACCTAAAACACAAGTTTAAACTTCAATTATTAATAAAAACTTGTAATACGAAAAATAAACTTAAATTACAAAATAAACGTTAATTACGAAATAAAACTTGTAATACAGAACATAAACTTGTAATACACAAAATAAACTTGAAATTAAAAAATAAACTTAAAATTAAAAAATAAACGTTAATTACGAAATGAAACTTGTAATACACAAAATAAACTTGAAATTAAAAAATAAACTTAAATTTCTAAATAAAAGTTGAATACAAAATAAAACTTGTAATACAAAAACAAACTTGAAATATCAAACTTATTTTTAAATTTTATTTTTGAATTCAAACTTATTTTGTGTTTTGTTTCTGTATTTTAAATATGTCAAGCTTTGTATTTTAAATTTATTTGTGTATTTATTAAAATAAATATTCTATTTATTTTAAAATAATTTTAAAAAAATATATTTTAAAAATAATAATTAAATGTATTTTGCTCGAAAATTATTAAAATTTTTATATATGGAAATTATTCAATTATTATATTTTTAAACAAATAATTACATTATTTTTATTTTGCTAATAAATGTTGCATTTTCTTAAAATAATTATGGCACACCTTTTTGGTGTTTTGAAAAAAGTTTTTTTTTATTTTTGCGTCAAATTTTAAATAAATTTTTATCTGATTGGAGAAAAACAAGAAAGAAAATTTAAGTAAAAATAACATAAAAAATAAATTCCAAAATCCATAACATCACTTTATTGTTCCCATAAGGCCTGAGACAAATTCTTTTAAGCTTTTATTTACCCAAAAATTAAATAAAAGAAATACCAAAAATACAAGCTTATGGCATTGAGTAATTTCTTCTTATGTTTAGCCAATTTATTAATGAGAAAATGTGTGGGTGTTTGCTTAATATAGTCAAAACTAGGGAACAAAAATAAAATTAATCAAGTTTTTTAAGCTTGATATTGATTAAGTTCTAAGCTTAAACTTGATATTTAATTTAAATATCAAGTTTAAGTTTAAACTTGATATTAATTCTAAAGATCAAGTTTTAAGTTTAAGCTTAATATTGATAAAGATTTAAGCTTAAACTTGATATTAATTCTAAATATCAAGTTTTAAGTTTAAACTTGATATAAATAAGTTTTGAGTTTAAGTTAAAATACGCAAAAATAAAACTTGGCTAAGTTTATTTAATTTCATTGGTTTTTATTTGTTTCAAGTTTTTATTTATATAAATAAACTTATTCAAGTTTATAATATTTCTATGGTTTATATTTAATAAGCTCAAGTTTCAAGATTTTATTAATAAAATAAAGTTGCCCAAGTTTATTCTATTTATGGGGCTTCTATTTATTTGCATTGCTTAAATAAATAAAGCAATTTAATATTAAATAAATTAAGCCAAAGAATAAATAAGAAAGCAACTTAATTGGCATAAATGCATAAAAATCTTCCTTAAATAAAGAAAATATTTTTTATATAATTAAAGCGTTGGAAAAATTATTTGAAAGACCAAAAATTATTAAAAAATTATTTTCGGAAGTTATTACAGTGTGCGTAATAACGATACGTCCACTCAAAATTTTGGGTTTTATCACATTAGATAGACTTGTGCAAATTTTTTTTAATTTCATGTTTTTTATATAATTAAAGCCTTGCAAAAATTTTTTGGAAGACCAAAAATTATTTTGCTTATTAAAAGAAAATAACAGGGAGACCCAATGGGCGCCAGATCATTTAGGCGCGCTCCTCAACACTGTCACATAGCTAATACATATATTCTTCAAAATTTTCCCAAATTTTCTTAACATACTAGACCATCACCTCCATAAATTTCAGAATTTTTCAGCAAAAATTTTTGAAGTTATAAAAATAAACCTAGAAAAATTAGGTATTTTTAAGGTAATCGAGTCATTTTTGGTCATAATTTACTAAATTCTGTTCCGAAAATTCAGAAATTTTCGAAGACTGTAGATACTGTAGGCCTCTTCTAAAAACTATATATTATATATAACCTCTGTATAATATGAATTTTTTACAAATTTTCATTGGACAAGGATGGCCCATACTAGGTAGATGAGCCACATATACCACCTCATAAATTGTGAGATACTTCATAGTAAAGCGGCCAGGTTATAGCTATTTCTCTCCTTTAGCTAGTGCAAAAGGTTATTCGGCGGCTGAGAGCGAACCAACATCTTCAATAGACCGAACTGATGTGTTAGCGATCACACCACTCCGCCTACTGCATAGCCTTAGGAATTAAATAGCTATATTCTTTATATCATTATAGGATAAAAAATTCTCAATCCCAAGGGTCTATCTCATAATAAGTGTTAAAAATATAAATATAAATTATTTAAAAAATAATGAATAATTTATGTAGATTAATGAAGGTGTTCCATATTTGAAATATTAAATTAAACAAATTTTCCCGAGCAAAATAATTTTAATACAAAATTCCAATGAGTTTTTTAATTTTTTATTTCTGCCAAAAAATTAATATTTTCAAACTACAGAAATTTATAAAATTAATAAAGTTACGGATAAATTTATTTAAAAAATATTTGTTAAAAATATCTTTTAATAAATTAATTTTCTGTGAAAAATTTAATTTTTTAATAAATTTTTTATTTAACTTTTTTATTCGTCTGTGAGATTTTAATTAAAAATAAATTTTATTAAAGAAAAATAATTTTAACAAAATGTTATTTCTTAAAATGCTTGAAATAAAAATTTTGGTAGATCGCTTTCTTGGAATAAAATTCAAATATTATAGGAGGATTTTAAAATTTTTTGGTAAAAAATTTTTTAAAAATACATAATATAATTTAATTCAAATAAATGACATTTATCCCTTTAGTAGTGTTAAATTTTCTATAAAAGTAAATTTATTTTCTTAATTTGTGTATTCTTTTTAATTTGTTTCAATCTACTCCTTATTTGTTTTTTATTATATTATTCCTTTAATATTTAAGCTATTTAATGTTGAGGAGTCATATCTAATAGAGAACACGGAAATAAATATACGGAAATATTATTGTGTGCGAATATCCAATCACTTCTAAAATTAAATGTGAAACAGGATCGAATATTGCTACGATTGGTAAAAACCCCTAGTATTGAAGCAAATGGAATATTGTTCACTTAAGGTTTATTAAGCCAGCTTATGTAGTCGGAAAGTATTTTTTATTCAGAAAAATGTTGTCTTTATTACTTCTAGTTCTCAAATTGGTTATTGATTTTAATTTCTTGCTACACATCAACTTTGAGATCGTCTATGCAAACTTTTTTAATATTCACTGTTTGTCTTAAATTTTTCAATTTTTTGATTTAATTCCTAGGTTGTCAACTAATTTGTTTATCAAAATCCAACGGATAAAAGTCCAATTGATATCGTTAAAATGCCACATCTTTTTACAATAATTTGTTTTTAATTGCCAAATATGTACATGACTCATTGTTTTATCATTCTATTTATGACAAAAAGGAAAATTGTGAAATTCTAGGCCGTCATTTAAAATGTCAATACTGGCTAAAAGAAAAATCGATGTTGGAAAGGGAAAACTGAAAGAGAGGAGAAAATTAAGTAAATACACAGAAATATTTATTATTAACTACCTAACTACTATTTATTTTTTTAGTTTTTTTACAATAAATCTTTTTAAAAAATCGTTTTTAAATTTCATTTCTAGAAAATTCTAGAAATGAATAAAATATTTCTTTCTGATTTTACACTTACAATTTTTGATTTATGACACGTTCCATAAAATTTTTTTGGAGAATACATAGATCTAATTTTTGTTAACCACCTTTAGCAGAATCTCTCCAACCCTTTCTTACATTCATAACACCTTTATGTTTTTTGGGGCAAGTCAATAACCTCAATGAATTATTTTATTGTTTATGTACTATTTACACCTTATAATTATGCATGCTAAATAAGTAGCAAAAAAATTTTATTATTATCACATCATCTCATCCAATTTTCTTTTCATCTCCTTACATTTTTCACTTTAAAATTACAAATGGTTAAACGCCAATAGACAAATATGTACCTATATCTTTTATGAACCCAATTTAAGTTTTTATTGTTAAAACCCGGAAACAAAAGAAAAACAGTAGGACAAGGATACATGAACTCGACGGTTATAGGGACCTGAAGCCGTGTAAAATCCTAGGTTTTCTGGCTCTGGACTGATTCTGCCTATTTCGATTTTTATAATTATAATGTCTCCCCAATTTTAGCTCGTTATAATTTTTAAGATAAACGAGGAGTAAAACGGGTAAATATAAACTGAAAGGCGTTGCTATGGAAATAAATATAATTTTAAAAATAATTCTTTGAATAATTCTTTATCATATTTTAACTCAAATTAATAAAATTTCATTATTATTTGTTTAAATAGATTGTTTAAAAAATTTTTTAAAATGTCTTCGTTGATTAAAGAAGGCTTTATACAACGTTATAAAGCTGGATTTTTAATTTCTAATAAATGGAAAAGTAATTATGCCGTTTTATATTCTGATTCAACTCTTGCATTTTTTAATAATCGGGTAAATAATTATTTAAAAATTATTTTAAATATTTTGTGACGAATTCATAAAATAGCATAGACAAAGTAAATTTTGAAGCTAAACTGAAGTGATATTATTATAGGTATCTTAGTATATTTGGGCGTAATTTCGGCCTCACTTACAATAAAGCAAGACTGGATTCTGTCTCGGAAAACCAGGTTTTAGGCGACAGACGGGGTTACCTTATGTACGGTGTTAATCCTACAGAATCCTGCCCTGTTCTACTTTCTTAAACTCAATCTTTTTACTATATCCCGGGAGTGTGATTCTGTGCACTATAGTCTGAATCCTGACTTTGAGTAAATTTTTATATCCTTACTTGACTAATTGCAAAATCTTATAATATGTATTTGGCCAATTCAATCCCAAGTTGACCTTTTATTCCAAGAGCGGTTATAATTGTTGTAACAATTTATAATAAATTTTAAAAATTTTTAAATGCAGGGTGATGCTAGACCAGTCGAAACAATCTTTCTAAAAAATGTTGTCCCGTACACCTGTGTTGGATTCATGTGTGATAGGATGCCTGTCCGTCGTCCATCTCTACCGCAAGGTGTAGCTGTTCAACGTTTGGTGGGTATTGGAATGGATCCACAAGCCACAAAAGTTCATTGGATTCTTTTTCCATCAGAACAAATATTAGAGTATGTCTATTATTTCAGTCAGACCTACTATAAGATACACCCATATTAGTGCCCGGCACCAAACAGAATCAGGCTGCTTTTCCGGTGTCCGATTCACAAATACGAGTTTATCACGATCTCAGTATAATTTTCAGACATCTCAAGGTCGGAAAAATCTAGCAGGAATGGGCTGGAATAAAAATGTCTTGGTATCAGGTTTCCTGGTGTTTCCTGCCCATTCCTACTAGTTACATTCTGTTTAAAATTTTTTAAATTTTATTGGTCATTGATGGGGAAGCTGCTCAAGCTGTACCCATACTTTGATATATGCCCCATTATAAGATTCAATTTCGAATCCCAAAGGTGTATCTATAGTAATTGGTTGGCTTTAACAAATATACCTCTTCAAACTTAGAGAATGGATGAATGCTATCCTTTCAACTCTACCCAAACCACCTACAAATCCTTCACAGAATATTCCTCAACAGCCTACAAGTGAAAAAACTTTTGGTTTTAATTTGAGTTAATTAATAAAATTAATTTTTATTAGTTCCCCCAGCAAGATACCCGGACGCCCCACCTGCTTATCCAACACCCCCAATGTCTAATACGTATCCTTCCAACTTTCAACAACCGCAACAGGTGGATAAGAAAATTCTCTTTTTTATTTTTAAAATTAATTTAGATCCCTTATGGAGCGAGACCTCAATATCCACAGCAACAACCTTATTATCCTCCCCCACAGCCTCAAACAGTAATTATTGATCGCACATCAACAGCCTATGCCCAGTAAAATTTTTTGAATTTCAAAAATTTCAAGGGGATATAACACTCACTTAAGATACAACCAATATTAGACACACCTCTGTTTAAGATCGTTTTAAGATTGTTTTAGGGATGAGCGCCAAGGTATTCTGGCGTTATTTTTAGCCTATTTTGGCATTATGGTGTTTGGCGTGTTTTAAGAATTTGAAAAATTGGAATACGGCCCGGGTTTGAACTGCATAAGCTATACCCTCTATTTAATATACACTTCATTATAAGAGATAATATTCTCAACCCCAATCTTATATCCTTTGTCTTTAACTCGATTTTTAGACCAACTGCTACTTCCACTTTTGGCACTGGATTAGCAGCCGGAGCTGGAGGGGCACTCCTCGGCTCTCTCCTAGGTTACGGTATTGGCAGTATGTTTGCCCCACATGGGGGCTGGGGAGGTGGTGGATGGGGAGGGGGTTATGGAGGTAGTGGGTTTGGCGGAGGATATATACAGGTTACCTAGATTTATGAATCTAACCGAACTGAATTTAAAGGATAATGATACGTATATAACTAACAATTATTATATGAATGATGATAATAATCAGAGCTCGTCACCTGTAGTGAACGATGTTACTGACTCTACAGGTAAATGCCTGGGTACAGGGAAGAAATTGCCCGTGTCACTCGATATCCGAACTTTTTACGACCCGGAACCGACCCGACTTTTTTTCAATCCGACTAGGTTTTCAATTTGTCTCATGGAAGTTTGTAATGAACCGATACTAAGGCCGGATTCGGGAACTACTTAGCCAAAGCGGCCCTCTTCCATATAACGCGCCTGAGAGCTGTCCATTGTACTTAAAAACGTATCTTACCTATTATTTAGATTACTCGCATCCTGGAATAACCGATTATAATGGCGGAACTTATGACTATGATGGAGGGGGAGCTTGGGATTCTGGTGGAGGCTTTGACAGTGGTGGAGGCTTTGACAGTGGAGGTGGATTTGACAGTGGTGGTGGAGATTGGTGAAAAATTAATTTTTAGAGAACTGATAAAGTGAAAAATTGATGTTTACTTTTTAATTATTAAATAAAGTCTTAATCAAATCTCTTCAAATTTGTAAATAAATTTAAATTTCGTACATCCAGCTACAATAAATACAATAATTTTTGCTATTGAATCTTTAAAATCATTCATCATTCCTTCATTTTTTAAGTTGATTTTGATGTTGATAAACAGTTGCAACTACTTGAACCTTTGGAGTAATACTTGATTTGGGGTATATTAACGGTATCTTTCGTAGGAAGCTTCTAATCCAAGGAAATTCTTTGTTCAGAGCATTTCGATATTCCGAGCTGTAATTTTAATAAGATTTTGTATCAAGTTAAAGGATGAAGTCAATGGATGAAGTTAAAATCCTTACCTGCAAAAATACAAAACTGGGGCGTTGATTGCACCCGATACCGTTACAAGCTGAGCAAATAGACGAACATACAAAAATTCCATTTCAGGATCATTTGTTATTAACGGAGTAATAAATTTAGTACAAATCAGTCCAGTTAAATTTAAGAAAACTATGACAAATATTATCATAATAAGTGATCTGTAGATCCGTTTGGTTTGAAGTTGTTGAACGTTTGATTCTCCACTTTGATATACTGGAATATTAAAATGTACAAATTTTAATTAATTGAATTCAATGGCTCGGGATTTTCGGTTCGGATAAAGATGGCGGATCCGGATATACAAAACCAGGATCATTACATGTCAAAAATGAATTATGATCGGACTGTCTAGAGTAAGGAAGAGAAAGATCCAGCTGGCTAGCATTTTAAGCACTCACTAGGCGGGGGTTTAAGATCTAATAAAAGAGAAGGTGCAAGCAGCGTTCCGGTAGCTCAGTTGGTAGAGCAACTGTACGTGGTGAGCGAAGCGCCTAGCAATAACCGCCAGGAGGTCGTAGGATCGAAGCCTGACCGGATTAAAAACTAGCAATCATTTTTTAAACTCTATCTTCATGCCCGGATTTAACAATCATCCTGTCTAGCACTCTCTGATCCGATCAAACTTTCAAGATTAACCAGGCCCAGAAATAGGAACAGGATCATGTCCGGAGTCAGACATAAATAGCACAACGTATGTATAAAAATTTCAATTTAATTAAACGTACATTTTATAATAATTCCAACAATAATATAATTAAATATAGTAACCAAAGTAACCAAAATTGATACAATATAACCAAAACTAAGTATATCGCCTCCAATTTGTTCTGGGGTGTTGCAATAGACTTTTCTATAGGGTAATTTAAGTTTAGGGAATTCTTGATTAATAACATACATATCCGGGTTTTCAAGAGCATAGTTAAAGCCAAAAATCATAAAAATAAAGCCATATGTCAGGGAAAGTGTATTAAGAACCATTACATATTTAACGGCCCCTTTCTTTAGAACAAAACGGTAACTGAAATTAAAATATTAATTTTACTCTAAAAATATTTATCGAATAAAGCAGATTGGATGGGTATCTGATACAACATTGGGTCTGGAAATAGGAGAGCTTACAATGATGTGTATCTCACAAATCGCTTAGAAATTATCTCAACGCAGTGATCAAGTTCAAACTCCTTAAGACAAGTTTTATTTTAGATAGTTCAGTTCCTTTAAACTTAGGAAAATTTAGTGCAAAAGAGAGAGGGAAAAAGCCCAAAATGGTCAGTGACTAGGAAATGAATAATGAGCGTCATTACTAATAGTACCTAATTTTAAAATATTTGGAGACTTACAATACAGGAAATAGTAGAGCAAGAATACGGTCTACGCTAATGAAAAACATATTAAACATTGAATTTATCCCAGCGACTATATTTTGCCAGCTGGTAGCAAAAGAACAATAGGTTATAGAAATTTTTGTGTGCATTATCACTAAAACTGTAGGCAAAAATGTTCCAGACTCGAGAATTGCGTCACACAAACAATTAATAGAAAGAAGCAGTCCATAACTTGTTTGGAGATTTCTGGAATTTATCATAAGAATATACTCGATTGCTCCAAGTTTAAAAAATCCAGTTCTATTCGAATCAGTTTTAGTTTTGGTATCAGATGATTTAGCTCAACAAGCCCTTTTGAATAACCTGTCATTTGTATAATCGAATTTCTCAACCAAAATCAAGCAACACTTTGCGGACTTTTAATTGCGGGGACTTTATACCGGTCCACAGCCAAGAAGCATTAGGGATGGGTCTAGGATGGTTCAGGGATGTGTCGGGTTACCCAACCTCGAAACCCAACCTCGGTTTTATGGTATTGTACCAAGTACACAAAGAATTTAAAAAATTAAAAGTACTTGTGTTTGAAAGTCACCCATACGACTGTCAAATTAAGAATAATGCCCACAATGGAAATTAATTGTTGTATGAGTATTATTAAGAGATCGTGATAATAATTTTCCTCCATTTTAATGTTAAATTTACTAAATAGAAAATAGAAGATCTTTTAAAAAATTTCTAATATAAGTATTTTTAATTTATAATAATTTAATATTTTGGCGGAATAAAAGGAATGTATCAACTTCTAAAAAATTTTTTTTTAGAAAACTGAATAAAAAAATAAAAAAAGTTTAAGAATTAAAATAATAATTAAATAAACCACAAAAACCCCAAGATTTTTCTATAAAAAATTATTATTTAATTTATATATTAAAGCCTTTTTTTACTTAAATTTATTAAATAATATTAAAAAAAGCTTTATTTGAAGTAAATTTTATTTAATTTATTTTAAAAGTTAATTTAAATTAATTTAACTATTGAGGGACAGACACTCCCCCATAAGCGGAAGCTCGTGTTCAAGTACTACAAGATATAAAAAATTATTATAATAATTATTATTATTGGATAATTATTCGGAGTCGTGGGAATATTCTGGCATTATACAGTGATTCGAAGAGCACATCAGATTCTTATTCAGAGGCATTCAAGCTTATTGAATTCAATTTATTCGACAAGGTCTATCAAACGTTAGTCAATAGTAGTCAAGTTTGAATTAAACACAGATGCTGTTAAAGATTGAAATGTTAGTCGGACCACCGATTCGAGCCGAATTAGGTCATTTTTTCGAGCTTGGTTTTTTTTTGATTCGGTTCGTTTTCGAGCTTTTCAAGCTAAAAAGCCTGGGCTCGATTGATCCTTCGAGTTCGCTCGGCTCACTCGCAACCATACTCACCCCTTAAATTATTGATATACCTTAATCTCATGATAATTAGTTTTTATTTGCCAAATAGATGACTTTTAGTTTTATCATTCTTCTCAAACGAAATGAAAATTGCGAACTTAGTCTAGTTCATTTAATTGTTAAATAGAATTAAATGGAAATCGATGTTGAAACGTGAAAAATACGAGAGAGGAAACAATTATTTTAGTAAATAAAAATATTTAAACTATTATTTTTAGGTTCATTTATCTTTAAAAAATTATTTTTAATTTTATCTTTAATTTAAAATCTTTAAAAAATTTCCTTTTTCTTACTAAAAATTTAAAAAACTTTCCGATTAGTTTATAGACCCGATTTTTGTTCAAATAAAGTTAAAATTGTTTGTTCTAGTCTCCCAATAAAGACGTTAATATTGGTGACATACACCCTGAAGACCTATCAATACCTTTAGAAGAGCATATCAAAAGGAACTATCGAGGGATTTGGCGGATTAGAGGGGATATTAATCGATTTGATATGATTGATTAAGAAATGGGTACACATCTCCATAGAACTAGGTACGTAACCACCTTAATCTTTCAATATTCCCTTTCATAAGGTATAGGTCTTCAGACCTATACTGTTCATTTTTTAAACGATAATATTTTTTAAACAATAATATATGTAGTAGATTATTAGAAATATTTTTAAATGTCTTCACCAGTTAAAGGAGGCTTTGTACAACGTTATAAAGCTGGATTTTCTTACAAATGGAAAACTAATTATGCTATTTTATATTCTGATTCAACACTCGAATTTTTTAAAAATCGGGTAATCAACTAGATTAGAATAACCCTTGATCACTCACTGTCAATAAAAATTTATAAAAAAATTTTTAATGTCAGGGTGATGGAAGCCCTGTCGAAACAATTTTTCTGAAAAATGTTGTTCCATACACTTGTGTTGGATCCATGTGTGATTGGATGCATCGCCGTCGTCCATTTCTATCGCAAGGTGTATCTGTTCAACGTTTGGTTGGTATTGGAATGGGTCAGCGAGCCTCAAAAGTTCATTGGATTCTTTTTCAATCGGAAAACATTTTAGAGTTAATATTTTTTAACCATTTGGACCTCAATAAAATATAATATCTTAATTAATAGAGAATGGATCAATGCCATTATTTCAACTTTACCTCCACCACCAAAGCCAATTGGTTGGTGTGTAAATCCGGTATTTAAGATAGAAAATTTTTTTTTAATTTAAAAATAATTTTAGCCAGCCGGTGCTGGTAATGCACTCCAAGTCTCTCTTCGAGCTTACGGGTTTGGTCGCCATTTTGCCACACGTGGAGGGAGGGGAAGGGGTAATGGAAGAAGATATAGTGGTGGCGGAAACGGTTTCAATTTGTTTTATTAAGGGGCTCGTGTCCATAGTTTATGTATTCAAAATTGGTTAATGGATTTTAACGGCCTACAGCTTCCTCTAGAATATAAAAGTTTGTTACATATTATCTATTTTTAGATGATAATGGTGGAGGGAATACTTGGGATTATGATGGTGGAGATTATGGTGGTGGTGGATGTGATAGTGGTTGGGGTGGAGGTTTTGATAGTGGTGGCGGTGGATGTGATAGTGGTGGAGGTGGTTGTGATAGCGGTGGTGGCGGTGGCTGTGATAGCGGTGGTGGCGGTGGTGGTGGAGATTGATGAATATTATCATTTGAGACGAGATAAAACATTTACAAAAGTAAAATATTGATATTTAACTTCCAAAAATTTGAAAATTAAATACAGAAGAATATTGTTATGGTACTATACTCCTACTCATTTATTAGGGCGATAAAAAGGTTCTACTGTATGTCAAAAATTTAATCACAATAATTATTTAAATCGTTTCATATATTATTAAGTAAATAAATCGGCATTCTTAATTGATAAAAATACATATTTCAAAAGAAAATTTGGGAGGTTATAAGTATGGTGTTCATGGAGGGTATAAGTGGATGTGTGGATATACTGGAACTAATTCGAATTTCTATACTATTGTCGACCCTGGGCCTCAAAACTTCGTTTTAGATCCCCGACTACACGTTACCTTCATCTCTTTAAAATAGATACTTTCTACCTGCTAAAAGATGACTAACAGTTGAATCATTCTACTCAAACGGAAATAAAGTTGCGAAATTATTTAGGTTTTTAAATTGTTTAAATAGATCTAAAGAGAATCGATGATGGAAAGTGAAAAATACGAGAGCGGAAATAATTATTTTACTGAATAAAAATATTATTCAGTAAATAAATTATTGGTAATATAAATTATTGGGTAAATAAGAACCTTTTTTTATTCACGTTTTTAGGTTCATTAAAAAATTATTTTTCTTACTAAAAATTAGAAAATTTCTTTCCGATTACTTATTAGAACGGGAAACAATTTATTATTGTCCACAAAGAAGAGACAACACCATGAAGATCTATAGAACTATAACTTTTGGCAGAGAATATAGGGAGGGAATACATATCGAGGGATTTTGGAGATTAAGAGTATATCTCTCTAACTCCGAAATGCCATAGTTATAAAATACAGAGCTGGTACTTATCTCCGTAGAACTAGGTACTTATCCCTCAATCCCCTGTTCCCTCGATATTCTGTTCCCTCGATTTCAGGGTCAATTAACCTAATATTAACATCATTTTTTGATTATTTATTATTTTTGAAAATAATATACATTGTTAAAAATATTTTTTAAATGTCTTCACCAGTTAAAGAAGGATATTTACAACGTTATAAAGCTGGATTAATTCCAAATAGATGGAAAAGCACTTTTGTTGTTTTATATTCTGATTCAACACTTGTATTCTTTAATAATACGGTAACTAACTAGGGTACCAAAGGATAAGCAATTGTGGATGTGTTAACCAGACTTTATAATGGACATGGATCTTGGTATCGGTATCATGATACCGATTTTAGTATTGGTATACGGATATTTAGACTGATCCGCAGGCATCTTGAAATTATATTTATCCATATCCATTACCAAGTCTGGGTCAACACTAAACGACCGTTCCGGACAATTGTGGATTTAAAATTAAAGTGCCCTCCTGTTTTGAGTGCGGAAAACGTAAAATGTGTCGAACCCCTGCCGAATCCTCCCTGTTTCCGACGATTTTTGGATTGGTTTGATTTTAAAGATGTGAGTAAATTATATTTTTCCTTTATATCAGCAATTGCCTAATAAACATATACGTACCCTCAATTGTTGTACCGTAAATAAAAATTTATCAAAAAAATTTTTAAATGTCAGGGTGATGGAAAACCTCACGAGACAGTTCTACTAAAAGATGTTGTTCAGTACACGGCTGTTGGATCCATGTGTGATAGGCTGCCTGTCCGTCGTCCATCCTTTCCATTAGGTGTAAGTAGAAATGCTGTTAACCGTTTGATCTGTATTGGAATGGATTCACAAGCCTCCAAAGCTCACTGGATTCTTTTTCCATCAGAAAGGATATTAGAGTTAATATTTTTTAATTACTTTTGGAACCTTAGTTCAGTTTTATTTTAATAATTTTATTTTTAAAATTTAATAGAGAGTGGATATTTGCCATTATTTCAACTTTAACTCAACCAACACCTCAACCACCACCTCAACCACCATTAAGGCCAATTGGTTGGTGTGTACCGGTATTCAAGATATAAAAAATTTTTTGAATTAAGAATTATTTTAGATTCCAGATGCTAATTCATCTAGTTGTAGCAATGCATCAGTGCCGGCTGCTGCAAATGCAGCAGCCGGCACTGGAAAACCAGCACTGGCTGCTGGTTTGAAAGTCGCCTCTGGTTTAGCAACCGGTGCAGGAAAGGTTCTCTCCGTCTCTCTTCAAGCTTTTCGATTTGGTTACATGCTTGCCACACTTGGAGGAGATTCATGAGGATTATTTCTTGATTAGAACATTTATAAAGTGAAATATTGGTGTTTAACTTCCAATAATTTGAAAGTTAACTACAAACGAATCTCGTTATACGTAGCAGAGGTGGGTCGGAATTCCGATTTCCGAAAAAAATTTTGATTTCCTATATCCGAGTTCCGACTTTTAAGCCAGTTCCGATTTCAGGCTCTTCCGATTTCCGACACGGCTGACTGTTCCGACCCACCTCTGATACATAAGTATACTGCTATTATTGTTATACCTTCATCTTTAAAATAGATAATTTATTTTTATTTGCCAAATAGATAACTTTTAGTTCTATCATTTTAATTAAACGTGAAATGAAAATTGCGCATTTATTCTATGTCTTTTAATTAGTTTAAATAGATCTAAAGGGAATCGATGTTGAAACGTGAAATATACGAGAGTGGAAATAATTATTTTAGTAAATAGAAATATTATTTAGTAAATAAATTATTGTCCAAATTATTTTTATTTTCCAGTCAATGTTTGTAAATTTAAACAAGTATAGCATGGAAGAGCATAGTTTGGTGGGCAATAAATGCATGGATTAAAAGATAAAGTCGGAGATATTGTTAAATTATGTGCTATCCCTCCAAGCCACCATCCATAGGGTTGAGTTGGCTGGCAAGGTAGAAGATTATAGCAATTTTGTTCTTCTTGTGCTTGATCATCTGGACACTAAATTTGTTGAATATAACCTTATTGTAAGATACCCTCAGATAAATACGCCTCTATTTATATGATACGTCAAAAATTGGGTATTCAAAATGGAGCTGTCTAAACTCCATTACTTATGATATCTGATTTCATCTATTAGAAAAACCCTCTCTATTTGAAGGACCCTTCTAATAGACTGATCCTTTGGAGGAAGTTTTAAACATAGAATGACTCAACTATCAATCAGAGATGATACGGTAATCTCATTAGAAAATACAAAATTTTTTTTGCCCAAAGGTGTATATTACATTAAGATCCGACTATATTTTTAAAATTTTATTTAAAAAATTAACTGTTGAGCATGAACAAACACGCATTCTAATACGTATTCCTGTTCCACAGGTTGATGAACATGCACTTTAAAGAATTGTTAATGGCACTTTAATTCCCTTTACCTCCAATTTGACCATTCACTCCAATGGCATTGAAGGTGTTCTAAGGGAACAATTCCTGGCGATTCATAATGAATTTGATTTATAGGGCAATTCTGTTGTTCCATTGATTCTCCGGGGCATAATTGGCATTCAACGGAAGACGAAGAGACTTAAATATTTTGAGGGGTTCCATTTTTAAATTTAAGGACTTAAAAGCTTGAGAAAATACCTCCTATAGGGTGTGCCACAGCAGCTACATCACATCTACTTTTATCGCAAACTCTCCATCTTGTTCTAAATGGAGCTGAATTTCCACTAGGAGAATGGTTACATTCTGTCCATTCACTCCACTGACCCCAATCAGCATTAGCTATTATTGTTGCTTGATTGAATTGATGAATTTCGGAGGAATGTGGTACTAAAATATTTATATATTTTCCTAAATTCAATACATTCGAATTGAAATTTGGTTGAAAAGAACGGGTTGATTTTGTAAATATTTCTTCGTAATTCTCTTCCAATTAATAGTGTTTCTTACTAATGTAACTTTTTGTCTCGTAATAGAGCTGAGCCACAACATTATACCCGAACTCGAACATTTCAGAGATTTTTTTGACCTATTCACCCCCTCCTCGTCTTCCTGCAATCACCAGATAAAGTGGCATTTTTAAATAAAATGACCATTTGAGTGACATTATATGCCTTGGACAATTTGTTAATTTTTGAAGAAAGGAAAAAATAAAGGAGATAATAAGGGGAAACATGTTAGACTACAGGAAATTTAATAGCAAATTTGATCTACCTGTTTCAGGAAGACATGCTCTAGCTTGTTGATTATTTCCAGGATTTAAATTAAAATCGTCTAGCCATGTACGTGTTCGGGTTTGGACCCAAACTAAAATTAAATATTTCTATTAATAAAATAACGAGATACTTCCATTTTGTTCGAAACATAGTGACCAGGCATTCCATGGTGACCAGTCTGCTTTTGATGAATTTAGAATAAAGGAGAATGTAAGCATTTTCAAGATAATTATAATATTAGGTTCCATAATTAAATTAAATAAAATAACGTAATTTATTAAAAATATCGTAAACCTTTTGAAATACATACCCCTTTAAGGTATATTACAGACAGTTATCACGATACTCAAATCTGCTTTTAGGCAGTAATTTGGAGTGAGTGCAACAGCTTTTGTGGATCGAAAGACTAAAGTCAATTAAAAAAGCGAAATACGGATGTCTAAAGATGAAGCATAAAAAAGTCAAAAATTTAGCAAAAGGCGAAACTGTAACCCCAGGAGGTATGTCTCAAGATGAGAAAAAAGATTAACTCGTGTTCGGGTAGAGTTTTCAAAATTTCCTTCGCACCGGGATTTGAGCTAAAAATCGGGTTTCGGATCTTTGGGAAGGACGGTCTCGGGGAAGGCATCTGGGGCATCCTGCATCTTTCTTTCCAAAATTCTCTTCCAAAATTGTCACATGTGGAAGAGGACGGGAGTTAAATAATATTTTACTAAGTTTGATAATATTTTTCAAGTCAAGTGGATAAAAAATAAAACAAAATGTTCATCAAAAATTTTTTAAATTTAATGTTTAGCTACTTAAATCAATTTTCTTTTTTTCATTTTTTATTATTTTCATAAAACTAAAAATATATTCTTGTATGTACAACAAACAAATGTATAAATTAGCAAACAAATGATTAATTAATTAAACATAAGCTTGTTATAAATAAATAAATATTTTAATAAATAAATAATTTTATTTTAAATTTAAAATTAATGTTACATATTTTTTTTGCTTAAGATAAAAGTAGGG